TTATGAAAGGACTAGCCAATGAAACAAAATGGACTTGGCCCTGGCCTGGCAGGACTGAGAGTGCGGCCACCTGCATCGCAACGGGGCTGTCCCCCGTCAGCGCCAATGGGCAGCAACAGCAGGCTCTGTTGGCAGTACTTCGTGAGGGTGGTTGTCAAAACAGTTTCTGGCATGGAAATTGGCTCTGTGCAGGCAGTACTTGAACTAGTTTCTAGAACACTTCAAACTAGAGATGACAGTGGAACCACATTGTTTTAAATCTTTCTTACAGTGCTGTTCTTTCCTCTAATGAGTTAGGGAAGGCAGAGGGTTTGCAGTCACAGCTTGGTTGTGCACCAGTTGCTACCCCCTGTATGAACTTGGGCAAATCACTCCTCTTTGGCCTTAGTTTCTTCATCTTTAAAATGGGGACAGGGACTTCATGTCAGTTTTACATGAATTGACAGCACTGGCACTGCCAGTACCATAAAGGACGTAAGCTTTGAAATCTTGTCAGCTAAGGTTTTGATTCCAAACTGCACTTTAAAGTTGTGTGATCTTGCAAGAGGGTTTCTAATTCATAAAAATGAATGAAAGCCACCGAGTGGGCTAAGTGGAGAGTCCAAGTGTCAGGCATAGAGGAAGGGACTTAGTCCACTTCCCTTTCCTTAAATGGATTAGCTATTTCCAGAACAAGCTGTTGCTGTGTTCTAGACCAAAACTTTTCCTGCTTACAGTTTGAAGGTACTTTTATTTCCAGCTGCTGAATCCATCCTGACAAGTGTCTCTGTTCTTAGCTCTTGAGCCTAACGGGCCTCTAGGCAAGATGTCCCTGCCCATCGGGATGCACCGCCGGGCATTCAGCTATGATGATGCCCTGGAGGACCCTACACCCATGACTCCTCCTCCATCGGACATGGGCAGCATCGCCTGGAAGCCTGTGATTCCAGAGCGCAAGTATCAGGACCTCGCCAAGGTACCTCACCCTGCTGACTACTTCTGGCAAGTCCAGCCCCTTCCTTCTCCTTCCTTGGTTCTAGAAGACTTCAGTGGCACCTGGCACCAGAGAGTTGGGCAGCCACCTTTTTGTTTTCTGTCTTAGGAATTGGTAGTCTTTTCCCTCTTAATTTAAAACTAGAATGACCTGTCCTCTCTTACTGAGGCTCTTTTGTAGTCTCTGCTAACAAACACCCCCCCCCCCCCCCCAGTTTCCCACAGCATGAGATCCAAGCTGCTTTTCTGCTCCTTCCCAGTCCCCTGCCTGGTGACCCAACCATACGTGTTACTATTTCTTGCATCTGATAGGGTGCTTTATGCCTCTGTGACTTTGCTTCATATGGCCCACTTGCCTGGTTTACAGTCCCCTCCTGTTCTCCCAATCTCTCCCACTCTACTGCCTGACAGATAGTTTCCTGTAAGTCTTAGCTCACTTCTGTGAGCATTTTCCTGTATGCTCCCATCAGACTGTCCCCTTTCCCTTCGAGCTCTTCTGTACCATGGGCTTCTGTTATCATCCTATTACTTGATCGCCTTCCATCAGCCTCTAGAGGGCAGGGGCCATATTCAGATTTGTACTCTGTCTGCAGTAGCTATCAAGGACTTGGTGTAAAGTAGATTCCAGAACATTTTGAGTGAGTGTGGGAAAAATGGGTTCTTTTTTGAATACAAGCTGTGCTTTTCCTCACGCTATCCCTTCTGCCTTAGATACCTTTTTCTCACCGCCAGTGCTTCCTTTTTAAGGCCTTTCCTGGTGCTTACACACGCACACATGTGCACGAGTCTCCTTACACAGTTTTCACAGCCCTTTGGTGCAGTTTGGCTCCCTAGGGTCTCACAGCTTGTGGTGGGTATGTTACTGATGTCTGTGCTTCCTGACTGTAGGGCCTGTGTTTCTCAGCTTTGCCTCTCTACCAGAAATGCATGAAAGGTTTTCCTGTCGCTGGAGTGAACTGGGCCTGCCAAGCTCATCTGAACTTGGCATTTAACCTGCCATTACAATTTCACTGAACTTGGAGCTGCAGGACAGCTCAGGGCCCACTGAACTGCATGATAAGCATTTGCTGAGAGACCTGGGTGTGAATCTCCTGAAGGTCCTTGTACTAGCTATGACCTAGGGCACACAGTTCCAACCAACCCCAGCAGTGGGAACAGGGTGTGGGATTAATTAAGAGGATTAAAAGGCTTGGCCCTTACTAATGTGTGGCTAACATGATAAGCCCAGCTCCCAGTCTTTCATTTGTGGGGCTTTATGTGATTCTTCTTTGCTAATGAGGAATCACCTCATCCTCCCCCCACCTTCAAGTCTCAGCACAGGAAGCTCCTTTCCACGAAAGCACTCCCTACCGCTATGGGGGAAATTGCCTATATCAATTGCCTAATGAAATCTGACCCAGTCAGTTGTTGAGGAGAAAATATTTTGTGTTAAAAAAAAAAACACTACTGGCTATGTGACAAGAGGCCTCAGCAGCCCTGTGATGCCATGAGCAAGGCTGGTGCTGGCGCTGGGAGGGGCAACTTCAGTTCTAAAGGTTCTGCTTGCTTCACATGGCAAAGTCTGGTCTTCCAGATTTCTGTGGTGCCCTGGCTGAACCAGCTGACAGTTTGGGACAATTGCTCTCAGAGGACACCGGCTCACCTCATTACATGCCTGCTTTCATTTATCCCAACTCTCCCTGTGTTAGGAATCAACTATCCTCCAAGTGCGGGAGCCAAGTCTCAGGTGTGACTCTAGTAAAAGCCCCTGAAAAGATAAATCCTGTTTTGTAACAGGGATCATTTACCATCTTCTGATGCCCTCCTTTCTGGCCATCTTTCTTTCTTCCTCATTCCCTTGGAGAATAAACCCACTTTCAACCTCCCAGCTAGTGCTGAGCATGGTGGGTGTTCAGAAAGTAGCAGCTCTCAGCTCTCTCGCCTTAAGGATTGGGAACTACATTGATTTTTTTTTTTTTTTTAAAAGACCGTTACTTGAAGATTTAGTCCTCAAAGTGTAGTCTGGAGACCAGCAGCATCAGCATCACCTGGAAATTTATTAGAAACAAGTCAACTCCAAGGTGGGATCTGGCAGTCTGTCTTAACCCCCTTCCAGGGGTTCTGATGCTCAGAGACTGAGAACTGCATGGCAAACACCTCCGTGTGGTGCACAGTGCTCATGTAGTGTTTCATCTATGTTCCTTGGGGTGCAGTGTCGTTATGGGATATTGGACAGGGGCTGGGAACGGAGTAGACCCAGAGCTCTTAAGTTCTGGCTTTGCTGCTTTTATAAAGCTTATTGATATAAAGTCTTTATGGATAATACTGTTTGACCAGGTGAAGATGACTCTTCCTCAAATAAGATGAAAGGTATTTCAGCAACTTCTCAGAGGAGTGAGTTTAGGTGTGTGACTCCCTTGCCCTGCTCAAGTGCCTCCTTCACTTTCTCGAACAGGTGGAGGAAGGAGAAGCCAGCGTCTCCTCACCTGCCATGACCCTGTCATCGGCCACTGGTAGTGTGGACAAGGTCCCTGTGGTGAAGGCTAAAGCTACCCACGTCATCATGAATTCTCTGATCACAAGTAAGCATTCTTTACCCCCAGAATAGAGTGCAGCTGCGATGGGGAAGAACTAAGGCCTTTTACAGCCCAACTGTGGGGAATTCTGTGAACAGCCTGGCTTAGCATGTCAGAGGCTCCATTTGGGCAGAAGATTTGCCAAACATTCAAGCATCTTGTTTGACCTAACTGCATGCCTGTTGCTTTGTTGATGGATTTATTTTCGCTACCCACCTGTGTGGCCTTATTCAAGTTACTTAATTCTCCAGGCTTTTTGTCTGGTGATAAACAGGAATATGGCTGCTGGAGAAGGCCCCATTCTCACAAGAGGCATCGCCCACTTGCCCTGCTTTCCTCCTTCAAGTTAAACAGGTCATAGATGTTCTCTTGGTAGACCTCGAGGCAGCCTCATGTGTCCTTAGTTTTAAGAATGTGTGATTTGTGAAACCAAACACAAGTTAACTAAGCTTGTTGGTTCTGGAGAGGCCTTGTAGATCCTATGGGAAGTTAATGATGTCATATATTGGCTCTGCTCAGCAGTAACCTGTGCCATGGCTGGGCACAGAGGCCTCCTCGGTTGGCTCTTTGAAGTTGGAAGCCCTTGTTTATCGGCACTGGGTGGGCATCAGCTTGTCTTGGGCACTTCCTGAAGAATTTTTTTAGAAAAGATTTATTTGGGCCCTCCCTGGTGGCACAGCGGGTTAAAGCACAACACTAAGAAGCTTAAGCCACTTCCGCATGAGTTCGATCCCTGCCTGCCCCGGAGGAGATCCACATGGCGTGGCAGACCTCTCCTGACCCGCCCACTGCTCCCCTCAGCAGTGTACTTCGTCGATCTGCCTGTTCTGCTCCCCGCTCTGTCTCTGGTGAATCCTTTCACCCTCCGCATCTCTGGCCTGTACCCCAGTTCTGTATGCATAAATAAATAAATCTTTAACAAAAATAGATTTATTTATGCATACAGAACTGGGGTACAGGCCAGAGGTGCAGGGCTGGTGAGAGGGTTCACCAGAGACAGAGCGGGGAGCAGAACAGGCAGGTCGACGAAGTACACTGCTGAGGGGAGCAGCGGGCGGGTCAGGAGAGGTCTTCTGTGCCATGTGGGTTACCTCCCTGGCCGAGGATCGAACTCATGCTATGAAGCTTCATAGTGCTGTGTTTTAACCTGCTGCGCCACCAGGGAGGGCCCATGTCCTGAAGGATTTACCTAAGAAGCAAAAGTCCAAACACTTCATAACTTTCTCTTTTATACTAACTACTTGTATTAGGTAAGCTTCAGAGTATTTACTATTGATAGCAGTGTTGGAAAGCTTAGTCACTGATACAGTAGAACTGCCTTCGTGAAGATATAGTTTGCCAACAGTACAGAATGTTACAGCACCCCACTACAGTATTGTCACTCAGTTACTCACTTCCACAAGCATGCATATTTTTATATAACTGCAGATATAGTAGAAATACCTTCCTGGGTTTTTTTGTTGTTTTTAGTTAGTACTGCTATGAAAATCTGATGTTGCTATAGTCTTAAAAAACAGTTGCATTTAAAATCCTGGTATTGGTGTGTTGTAATTGGTCAGTTCTTTCCTGTTCTGTGAATTTTCAAGTCCTGTCTGATAGGCCTGGAAGAGATCTTCATGCCTTGATATATTTTTTTCTTTGCTTCTATTTCTGATAGAAATAAGATAGTTCCTTAGAAAGGAAATGACTAAGTCATAAAGGGCATCTGGTGCTTAGATGTTTGGTCTTCAGCTGCCACATTCCTGTCTGCATGGATGTATTATGTACTGGGAGCACAGCTTAAGCCAAAATTCAACTGTGAGTCTGTCCAGGGTATAACTGAGGTATGGATTATGAGATAGTCAGGTCAGACTGACTTAAGATTGGAAGCTGCCTGCTGTGTCAGGCACTGTGACAGGCTGTTTCACACACCAGAAACGTGCGCCAGGAGGTCACAGCCAGTTCAAGGCAGTCTTCTGTGGTTTCAGTCCTTTTGTGAGTTGAATTTTGGTGCCATGCTGCATAAATATGCCCATTTCTTTTTGTTGGCTAAAGTCTTTTATGTGTGTGCTGAGGATGGTGAGTTTACATTTGGAAAACTCTTCTGTTTCTGTCAGCTGCCTTCTCCATGTTGCAGTTCTGAATTTGAAAAAAATGCCCAGTGTACAAATAAGAGGAAGGAAAGGAGTGTTTCCCTGGAGGGTAACCGGCTGTCCCTTTAGAAGTGACTTATTTTTAGTACTTTTTTTGGCTTAAAAAAACTTGTTTATTTTATTGTAGTAATAACTGGCTTACTGGAGAGTGATGTGTGTGCATTTTATTTTAGCTTGGTGTGAGGGAAGGTTTCCTGTGATTCAAGGCCCTTCATGTAAGGTTCAGAGCGACTGCTGCGATGGAGCCTGCCCTTTGGGCTGCTCTCTCGTGTCTGAGGAAACCAGGAGACGTCTGTCTGTGATGGGATGGAGGATGGGCAACTGTCATCTTTCTTTCAGAACAGACCCAGGAGAGTATTCAACGTTTTGAGCAACAGGCAGGGCTGAGAGATGCTGGCTACACACCCCACAAGGGCCTTACCACCGAGGAGAACAAGTACCTTCGCATGGCAGAAGCACTCCACGTAAGCTGTTTCTTGGGAATTAAAAGTAAACAAGCAAACATGTCTAGCTTGAGATGTAGCTGTGGGTTGTGGACTGTGGCGAGTGGTGGAATGAATTGGGTGGGGAGTTTAGAACTTGGACAGCCCTACCTGTGGGGGTGCTTCCTGCCTGAAAGCTCGGAGGCATAGCCATGGAATTCCCACTTTTCCATCTGTAGAGGGTGGGGGCATCTCTTTTACTTACTTCCTATTGGGAGGAGACTTTGGGCTTACCTCCATGTTATGTGTGAGCACTTCATGGACAATAAGTCAGCAAGGGTCACTTGGGTACCAGTGTTTGGCTTAGAGGGACAAAGAATTGGGCAATTTTAAGAGGTTTAACACTTTAGCTGGAAAAGAACATCATATTCTATATTTTTAAAAAAGATTAAAACCAAATATAGAATTGGAATGTTTTTGCCCTTTTATTTCTAAAATGGTATGAAGAGTTTTTGGTAAGGTTAATGGTAACCAAGTAACTGTATGAGCCCAATAGTCTACTCACTTTCTTTCGAGGTATTCCCATTTATACTTACTTAGCAGTGCTTTCTGCTAAGGAAAGCACATTCACCTAGCCCCTCTGTATTAATCCTTTGAGGTTGATACTGTCAGTGTAAGTGAAGAGATTGAAGTCTGAAGTCATTATCGAACCATTCGTAGTACCTGAACAAGTCTCTTGATGCCTGATCTTCTTGCAGGTTCTCCCCCTTATTCCAAGATTGATTGAGAATTTGACTTCCGATGGGGCGCATAAAGTGTTGGATTGTGGAGGGGCACAGCTAAGAAACAGGGACTGCTTCTGTTAATTGAGTGAGGGCCATAGTTCATAAGTGTTTCAGATATGTTGCAGAAAAAAAAATAGATGTTTTTAAAAGATGGAACTCTTATCTAGTATGACAGAAAGGAAATTCCTGTTCTATAAGCTAAAATTATAGAACTTATTAGTATTTTTCCTTTTGCCTAAAGTTAAGAGTGTAAACCACATTGTTTATACTCAAATTTGGCTGTTTTGTAACTATTCTCTACTTCTCACTTTTAATTAAAAAGTCTCTTACCCCTCTGAACAGAAACTAAAGCTACAGAGTGGAGAGGTGACAAAAGATGAGAAGCAGTCTGCCTCGGCCCAGTCCACGCCAAGCAGCACCCCCCAGTCTTCTCCGCGGCAGAAGTCCAGGTGAGCTCTTCCTAGTGCTGCATACCCAGTCAGGGTTTAAACTCGCAGTTTCAAAGTGAGGAGTAGTTGATGCTTTAGTCTTTTGACTTGAGACGCTTCTAGAACTCTAGAAAGAGTATATATGAAGGATATGTTTTATGTTTTTCTCTTCCAGAGGCTGGTTCACTTCTGGCTCCTCCACAGCATTACCTGGCTCAAATCCTAGCACCATGGATTCTGGAAGTGGGGATAAGGACAGAAACTTGGCAGACAAATGGAACCTCTTTGGACCGAGGTCCCTCCAGAAGTCTGATTCAGGTAAGGCAGCTTCTTAGAAGAGAAAGCTGTATGGTACCATCTTGCCATGTATTTTGGGAGCTACCTATTTATTTGGAAATCATTTACTCTCTGGTTTACTTTGGTAGGAGGTTTTGCCACTCAGGCCTATAAAGGAGCCCAGAAACCTTCTCCAATGGAACTGATGCGAGTCCAGGCCACCCGGATGGCAGACGACCCAGCAGCCTTCAAGCCACCCAAAATGGACATCCCAGTGACAGAAGCGAAGAAACAACTGCCAAGGACCCATAATCTCAAACCCCGTGACTTGAATGTGCTCACACCCACTGGCTTTTAGAACTTTCTATTCAGGGACTCTGGAGAGAAGGTGTCTTGCACCTGACTCCCCTATCTACCTTAGCTCTGACATAGGAAAAGTTTATTATTTTTAAAAATCTCTCAAACTGAGGCTAGAGCTGGAGACATAATTGTGTTTGAGAAACATTAGCGCAAAGCTTGCCCTTCTGTGGAAGAAGCCATTTTGTACTCTTTGAAATTAGATTAAGTAATCTCAGCGGTGACGTGGGGGACCTCATCACCTATTTTGATATCATCTGATCTGGGCAAGCACTTTGATAGAGTCCAAGGTAAATAACGCTTATGTTGATCTGAGACCACGGCTTCCTGATTCCTTTTCCACTGCCATTGTGCCCATGCGCAAATCATGGAGTCGAAGGGTGTTCACTGGTTTGGACGGCTCTGGACTCTGCTGGCACTGTGCTCCAGCCTGGTCACTTAGGGGCACCTACAAGGTGTTTGAGATCTGGTACAGCTCTTCCTGTGCCAGAACTGGAGTCTCCATGTTTGCTGTAAACCTTATGGACCACTTTGTCCTACAGCTGGTTCTTAACGTGGTTCTTCTTGGGCCAGTACTGTTTTATGTGTCATAGAACAAACACTAGTCTTGCGTATCAACTTGGTTGCACTTTAAAGTGAGATTAATTTAACTACGATTTGTTTGAAAACTTCATTCCAGAGAAAATTCAGTCTGTTGGTTTGGTAAATATGAGTGGATGTTAAATTCTTTAAATGAAGGTGGTAACTAGTTAGGTTATAGGCTTGAGGCTCATGTGAAACTGCCGTCACCTTGTTTGAATTTCCTTGTTCAGGTCAGAGCCTGAAACTTTATTCTGGGACGTAGAACAATTAGAAATATTTCTACATGAAATCATTTTTCTCCCAAGTGAGCCTCATACCTTCATTACTGAGGAAAGGAAAAGGGAAAATGCCTTTTATTTTGCTTCACTGTGGCCATGCTCAGTGGACATGGTATCTCTAATTCCTGCTGGGTTATTTTGGGTAGTATCATGTATGGATAAAGAGCTGAGTTGACCTTTCCATAGAGAGAGGCCCTGGAGTCTAAAGTGATTAGAACGATTAATTTATTTGTGTCTTCTGTTATGCTTGTATCACCTGTTTTGACAATAAAATTCCTTTCCTACTTTCTCAAATGTGGATAGACTTTTTTTGTCCTGTTAGGAGTAGGTATTCCATTTTTCCTACTCACAGTCATGGAATCGAAGCACGGTAAACTAATAATTTGCAAAAACATTGCCTTTTTATTATATCCTTTTAACGTCAATTTTTGGTAACACTCAAATCTTTTTGTTTCTACCTCCCCACTTCATTACAGAAGATCTTAATGTAACTGGCCACCAGGTCAAATTCATAGGCAATTAACAGTTTTAATATAGGATGTAGTGTTCCATTAGGGAGCAATGGATGTCTTTTCTCTTTTGAAACAGGCTGTCAGTACCTTGGATGACATAATTGATGTCTAGGATTTGTTCAGGAGAGGGATTCTTTTTTCACATCTTGAATGGAAATATTAAGCATTTAGTGCATATGGTATTACCTGTTTCAAAAAAAGTATAGATAAATAATTTATTACAAAATATATACACCATGTGTATTTAAGCCAGTTGAGAACAGGCTAGGCTAAGGATTATAGAAAAAAAAAAATTTCCTAAGCCATAGAAAGGTATTATAACCTACAGATAAATAGGTTTGGTCCTGTAAGGTTTTTAGCTACTTTTTATACTCTTAGAGGAAGTTCCCAATAGTTGGAGCTAGAGTTCAGGAGGTATTCTTGGTGTTCAGTGCTTCGGATTCAGGGGCTGCTCCAGTTGGTGGTGGGGGGCTCTACATCGGGGTTCAAGTCTGCAGCATAGAAGAGCAGGAGCTTCAGCAAGTGCACTTTGTCTTGGAGCTGCGGGACCAGCGGCTCCCCCAGCATCTGGATGAGGCGGGTGCGGAAGGCCTCGATCTGCTTCTCCACATCCACCACTGTGATGTCGTCTCCTTGCTGGGGCTTGGGCTTGATCCTCTTGATTATTAAGTCTTTCCGGTCAATCACTGAACTCCGTAAGTGCTCTGCAATGGGGAAAAAGTCAGTTCAACTGTTCTTACCTGCCTTTTGTTCTTCTGACTTAAGATGAAGTCCAATTTTAGTAGCTAGGTTACTGGGATCTGAGTCAAAGACCACATGAATACCCGCTCTATTTCCAAAAGAGCTTTTTGTTTTTAATTCCCTCTGGTCCTGAAGTTTTACATATTAAGAGAAATTCTGTTTCCTTTTTTCCCCCTTGTTGAAGGGGGAAATTGTGAAAATTTATCACAGTGAAACTATTTCAAATTATATAACCGCGTGAAATGAATATATGCAAATTTTCTGTAGCTTTAGGGAGATTCTAAGTATCAAAAGAATTGCAAAGAAACACTGAACTGAGTTTGTTGTGGGCTGGTTGATTACAGTAATTATGTTTAAAAGAAAAATATATTTGTTCAGAGCAAGTATTCTTACTGTTGGAATGGAAATTGGAGTATCAGTTTGCATTTCTATTCTTAAATTATAACATTTGTTGGCTTTGTTGTCAGTAATGGCCTGGAAACTGACACGCTAGGAGCAACCAGCATACTAACACCCAGGTCTTAGTTTCTAAAGACCATTTCCCACCCCTCACTAAAAAAAGTCAGAACTTTGTTTTGGGGAGGGGGGAGGGAGAAAAGGCTGATTCTAGGACCATGGCAAAGAAATTACAAGGTGAGCTATGAATTTTCCTCATAAAGTAGATTACTGTTAAATCTTACCAGCATGAACACAGTAGATGAAGATGTTCCCTCCCTCAGTATGACTTCAAGAGGCAAGAATGTCAGTTTGGTTCAGTCACAGGATGCTGAGTTTGAGCATTTGGTTAAGATTGTTGTCTCTCAGGTTTCTCTATTCTGTTAGCTTTTAGTAAGTAACCCAGAGAGTAAAACTTTGTGACTGAATATTCTGTTCATCCTTTCACTTGATGGTTTTAACATCCAACGATCCCTTACCTGATTCCATTCTGTTAGTAGATTCAAGAGTGGTAATGTTCTACTTTGCATTCCTTCTCCATTTTTTTTTTTTAAAGATTTATTTATACATACAAGAGCTGGAATTTAGGCCAGAGGTGTGAGGGCAAGAGGATTCACCAGAGACACAGTGGGGAGCAGAACAGGCAGATCCTCTGAAATACGCTGCTGAGGGGAGCAGTGAGCAGGTCAGGAGAGGTCTGCTGCGCCACGTGGGTCACCCCCTGGCCAGGGTGGCAGTGGCCAGTATCTGCTGTGGCTGCCGATTGCACCAGGGAGGCCCACTTATCCACTTAAGCTTGACCTCGTAATTATTTTGCCATGGTCCTAGAATCAGCCTTCTTCGCCTCCCAGCCTGCCCTTAGTGAGGGATGAGAAATGGTCTTTAGAAACTAAGATCTGGGTGCTAAGTACGCTGGTTGCTACTGGAGTATCTGTTTGCAGACCATTTCTGATGACAAAGCCAATATATGTTATAATTTGTTTAAGAATATAAATGCATACTGATACCTCAATTTCCATTCCAACAGTGAGAACACTTGCTCTGAACAGCAAGTATATTTTTCTTTTAAACATAATTGAGGCAATAATTAGACAAGTCTATGTGGGACATTCTACAAAGTAATGAAGTGTCTGTCATGTGAAAGACAATGGCTGGGCACTGCTATATTAGAGGAAAATGAAGGAGAACAACACTGAATAGAGAGCATGATAGTTTGACTGGGTCCTGGCTGAAAACAAAGCCGCCTAGAAAGGAGACTATTGGGGCAGAGTTTTAGATGATACTCTAGCAAGGGGTAGGTTTCTTGAGTGTGATATAGGTACATGGGGGAGAATATCCGTATAGGCTGACATTTAGCAGCGAGGTTATGATGGCTCCACTAGGTCAGCAAGAGAAGTAGATATATGGGACAGTAGGTGAGTGGCAACAGCTGCTGAGTCAAGGTGAAGCACACATGGGTGTTCACTGCGTTACTCTCAGCTTTCTGTGGATGTAATGATAAAAATTGGGGAAAAGGAAAAGAAATTAAAAGGGTATCTCATCCCAAATCTACAGATCAATTCCATTGATTCCAGGGTTCTGGCTACGTGTGGAATTGAGGCCAAGGGCAACGAGATCAAGTGTAAGGCAACTGCACTGAGAGTTTGAGGACTGATGCCTGTCACATTCACCAGAGCACAGAGGACCATTTGCTTAATTCCCTCATTTGTAAAATGGGGATAACTGTTCCCGCATTAACAGGATTATTAAGTCTAGCTACATGATTTCCAGAAATTTGAGCAATGATACCTTAAAGCAGTCTTACTAGATTACATTGCAAATGCTCACTGTTTTTTGTAGAACCTTCAGATATCTTCATTAAGTCCCTCTAAATTTATAGCAATGTGCTTTGCCTAGTGGTAGTCTGAAGAGAAGTATAATAATTACAGTGTCCAAAAAGCCTGGAATCCAGGAAACAGCTGCCTTAAGATGTCATTGCAGAGCCTTCTCAATAATCTCTCAAAATTTGGAGTGAGCACCTATTACGTATCTGGAGCTGGGCTAGATTCTGGAGAAACAGCAGGATCAGAGACTTGGGTTAGCCCTGGTGGACTGACATTTTTGTTCCAGGAAGTCTGACAGTAAAAAAAAAAACATGTTTTTTTTTTTTAAAAAAACAAAAACTATATTTTTAGTGAGCACAGTCAAAGAAATCAGATGCTGTGATAAGCTAACACTGGGGATGAAGGGAACAGTCTACTATAGACAGGGAGGCCCTCTTAGCTGGGTCCTGAAGGATGAGAATAAACAACCAGGCATGGGACTGGGAGGAAGCATTCCAGGCAGCAAGAACACAATGCTCTGAGGCAGGAAAAAGTTGCTTTCGAGAGGTAAAATTTGGTAGTTAAAATGGAAAGCAGTATTCAGATGAGACTGGAAGAAAGGCTGGGCCACAGAATAGGATGGAAGTCAGCCTTTGAAATCACAGGGAAGTGTCCAGAAAGTTTGCTTTTTTATTTTAAACAGGGATTTTTTATTTTTGTACAGAAGAATTGGGGAGTAGGCCAGAGGTGCAAGAGGGTTGCGGGGGTCGAGAGGATTCATCAGAGACAGCATAGGGAGCAGAACAGGTGGATCTACTGCTCTGCCTGTTAACTGCTGAGGGCAGCAGTGGGTGAGAGAGGAGAGGACTGTGCCAGGTGGGTTAGCTCCCTGGCTGGGATTGAACTTGGCTGAGACTTAACCCCTAGACCACAAGGGAGGCCCAAACCAGAAAGTTTTAAGCAGGGAAATCTCCATTTTACTCTGCTACTGTTAGGGAAGGGTTGAAGGGGACAAAAGTCCTTGAGTGGAATTTGACTTTTTCAAAATGAGGCCATGTGTTACTCTGAAAAATGTAAAAATGATTTTGAAAAAAGGTAAAGGCTGGATGACAGAGAGACTTGGAGTGGGAGCAAGAATTTGGACTTTATTAAAATACAGGAAATGCAAAGAAGCAAACTTTGGCAGTGTCCATCTAAGCACTTCGCAGGGGGTGGAGTTCTTGGCCAGTGGACTTCAGCTTTCTGGTCCAGTTGGCCAGGCCCTGGATTTTATGCTTCAGTAGAGATAGAGTTCTACCATGATTCGTTGTTGTGCTTACTGTGTGTGTGAGGCAGTTTATAGAAAGGGTTTAGTACAATTCCTAGCTTGAGATTTTGGCTGATAGTAGAATGTTATATATTAATAGTTTCTGGGTCATTTTATCCCTAACACTAGCTATTACTTTACTATTATCACCACTATAGGAATATATAACCTAAAAAAAGCTGTAATGAGCTTTTTTTTTTCTTTTTAAAGATTTATTTGTGCATATAAGACTGGGGTACAGGCTAGAGATGCAGGAGGTGAGAGGATTTACCAGAGTAAGAGTGGGGAGCAGAACAGATGAATCAACCGGAACACACTATTGAGGGGAGCAGTGGGTGAGACAGGAGAGATCTGCTGCGCTATGTGGGCCACCTCTCTGGCTGGGGATGGAACTTGCAGTGCTGAGCTTTAACCCTTGGTGCTTTAACCAGGGAGGCCCCTGCAGTGAGCTTTTTAACTTCTGTCCACTGCCTTTCCTAGCTGTACACCCTCAGCACCATTACCCTGCCTCTGACCTTTCTGGTCTTCCATCAAACTATTCACCACATGCGAAGAAGAGACACCTTACTCCAAACCACTTTGATGGCTTTTCTTTACTCTTGGAGTCAAGTTGAAATTCCTTAACATGACCAGGACCACCCTTCCTGCCCTGTTTTGGTTACTGTCTAGTCACACATGACGCTGATCTCCCCTTGCTTACTATAGCCTCAGTCTTGTATGTTTGTTCTATGTTGCTTGGACTCACTAAACAGTTACTTAAGGCCCTCAGACATGCTGCTTTTTCTGGGAAACTGCCCTCTCAATTTGCCTTCTAACACCAATACTTCCTATCTCATGTGAAGTATCACTTCTTCATGGAGGCTTTCCCTGGTCCCTCCAAAAGTAGATTAGCTCCTTCCACTATATGCACTTGTATCTTCCTTCGTAGCATTTATTTTAATATAATTATATGCTGTTTGTATGATTATTTGTTTAGGTCCAGGCGCTTCACTAGACAGTAAGCTCTGTGAAGGCAGGAGCCATGTCAGTCTCACTCATTCAAGTTTTCCCAGTGAGTCAGGCACAGAGAAGGGACTTGGCGAGCATTTGTTGCCTGGTTGAATGCAAGAATTAAACTGATCTTGCCTGTATCTGCTTTCTTCCCTTGTGGACAGGGCTTCTTGCAGGAAGGCTGCATGTGACACCCCTTGGAATGACTTGGTGCCAGACAGCCATGGGCCCCCTGCCTAAGTTGTACCACTGAGTGAGATTCAGGAAGAACATGCATTTTGCTTAAGTATTATCTTTAAATTCCTATTCAAGTTTCAAAATAGGAGGTTCTAACTGTTCACAAGCATCAGGAAAACTCATGGCACATAGTAATTTGTCATTTTGCTGAGGCTCAAAGTGGTGTTTTGTGGCTATGAAATGGGGGTGTAGGTGACTGACTGAGTCAGAGAATGTGCATTCCACTGACAACCCAGCCTCCACATTTCAGTGGGCCTGTTCTGCAATTTAACGTTTTTAAGTTGTGGGGGTTCAGGATATACTTCTCTCCAAGGTCAAGGGTCTGTGCAACAGTAATTTAACCATATATACAGAGTTTAAAAATGGGGGTGGGAAGTTCCTTAGAATCTCACCTTCTAATCTTACCTAGTTATCTCACAGAAAAGCAATTCTGTCCAGTGTGTTTTTGCTGCACACAGACTTTGGACACAGACCCAAGTTTCAATACTGTCTCAGCATTTACTTTTCTCCTGGATTCTGTCCCCCCATTTGTGAAATTGGGGTGATACCTTCGCCAGGTTCTGGATTGGCCTGTTTATGTGAATTTGCCTAGTCTTTCTTCCTCTCTCTTCCTCCAGGCTAAAAGTTTCCCCTAAGCAAAGGGCAAGCTTGGGTTTTCCAAATTCTTCCCTTCTTTGTCCATTCTTGGGGCTGGACAACTCAGGCTGAACTCAAAATGTCTTCAACAACATCCTGAGTCCCTTGGAAATGACAGAGGAGACTAAGGGGACTTCATAGTAAGAGGCCTCCTGACAAAGACACTGGCCATTTCAAGCTCTGTCTAGCTATTTTTTTGGGGGAAGACAGTGGCTCTCAATGTTGTTTCTCCTAATTCCTGGCCTCCAAAGAATCAGGGGAGGATGTTAAGGATATTATAGCATTTATTCTTGATCAGCATATAATTATCTAAGGGTTCCCTTCCTTATTGAAAGTATAAGTCCAACTTGTCTATATTAGGTTACTGTTGCTCCCAAGAGGTCATTTCTCTGGGAATCAAAACAGAAATGAACAAGAAGTGCTAAAGGTGAACTTTAAGCAAAACAAGCTGCTTTAATATTAAACTTCTTGCTAGATTTCCAAAATAAACAATTACATAAACCTCAGTGAGGCTAAGTACACATGGAATTTGCCTTTGAGGCTATGTTCTGAGAATGACATGTACCATTTTTTGAGGGTACTAAAAACACACACACTATACCACCACGTGTAGTGTCCTTGATACTCTTCAAAGTTTTAGTTATAGAGCCTGACCGAGCAGATCACTTTAGCCTGCTCCTGCTTGGCAAACAGAGATTCAGCTAACCTTGATTCAGCACTTGCTGCTTTTTCCTCACACTTATTAGCAATCAGTCTTGGCAAGTTGTACATAACCATCCCCATTCTACTGAAGGAAGAAACATGATGTCTGGAGATAATAGCATTAGTTACCAATACAGACTAGATGTTGAGGCTGGATGTTTACTTAGACTGTCGGTCTTAAATCCAGTGTATTAATTTTTTTTAGTGTCTTTACAATTAACTACCTCAGTTCCAGGTCTGAGAGGGCATATAATGGCTATCTTATCTTCCATGTGCCATTCCTGGGTAAAAAGAATCTCAAAATCTCAAAATGATCAAAATTTATATATGCATATACACAACTTGTATACACAAGTATACACTTTTCTCCCTTAGTATTTAAGAATTGGACAATATACCCTTGTGTCTTTAATACTTCAGGTGAATTTCCAAAGACCAGGGACATTTACTTTCTTTCATAAGCCAGGGTAATATAACAACAGGAAATTTAATATTAATGCAATGCTATTGTGTAGTCAATTTAAATCTCATCAACTGTCTCAATAAAAGTACTTTTATAGTTTTTTTTTTTTTTTTGCTTGGTCTAGGATCCAATTCAAGGTCATGTTTTCATTTAATATTATGTGCTTTAGCTTTTTAATCCTCAGCCTTTGCATTTAAGACATTGGTACTTTTGAAGAATATAGATCAGTTCTTTGGTCCCTCAATCTAGATTTGTCTGATGTTTCCTTGTTATTAGATTCAGGTCATGAATTTCTGGCAAGAACACTACATAAGTAATGAGGTGCCCTCTCAGGGCTTCACATCAAGAGGAATGCCAGTTTTCTCCATGGAGTTACATTCTTCCTTTTGCAATTAATAATCACATCAGTTTTCCCAAGGGCTTCGTTAATCCATGTCTAATAAAATCATCTTCGTTTGAAGCAGATATTCCACTAAAGTACACGTCAATGTTGGTCTCCTGTGTGTCATTAGTCTGATACTCCCAGATCCTCACTAATCACTGGCTTTGCCTGTGGTTTGAGCAGAGCAACTTGCACAATTGTTTGGCCATGGATTTGCATTGTGTATTGATGTTTACAATGTCTACAGCAGGTGCGCAATCTGTCCAGCAGAACCAATGAGTGATGGGACAGGATCCGTGGCATGGAGTTAGATCATTCCTGAACACTTCTCATGTTACAATGGCTTTGGCTTACCCATACAATCTGCTAACTGTGACACTGTACTCTGTGCCCTAACAAAGATATATGAATCTTATTTCATAGTAGAAATTCCAGCTATATTATTTCTTGTTCCTTATAGTTGCAACCAAGGAATAATGCTTTAGTTAAGCTAACAAATTACTGTCTCTAGGTAACTTTAATTCATAATAATGTCCATTATGAGGCCTTCAACACTACCTTATTTGTGAACAAATGCTCCTTACCTCTTAAAACATGTTGATAACTGGATAACAGAAACTGCAGATGTTCAACCAGCTCATCCCAAGTCTGCCACTGGGTTTTATCTGACTGTGGAGATAGTAAAAAGCAATCTTCACTCAGCCAAATGTTTTGTACCATTTTTTAAGTCATCTTTAGATATGGTAAGGAGTAGGGAAAGGTGCTTTTTTTAGTGCTGTGCTTTAACTTGCTATGCCACGAGGGAGGGCCGGGAAAGGTGTTTTAAACCAGGGATTGAAGTAGGAAGCAACGTACCTGACACTTGAGCAGTGATGTGGAATTGTTCAGAAAGTAGAGGGCCTGGGCCAGAGACAGGGGCAGGCGAGTGGGTGTCTCGCAGCTGTGGAGGAATATGATTTCTAACACTTTGCAGCGCAGAAGATGGCTTTCCATGGTAGTAAAGAACATCTCTCTGTGTGGAGAAGAGGAAAGGGAGGTGACCATCACGATTGTTTCAAGAAACAAAAATCTCACTTCCTGAATGCTCTTAACATCTGCCCTAAAAATGAGACGGCAAAGGAGTACCATGGAGGCCTCTAAACCACAAAGTTTGTGGACAGGGCAGACATGGATTTGTTCATAGCTGCCAAAGGAGGGGGAATTTTTTTTATTTTACAAAAGTTTATTTTTACATCATTTTGTACATTTTTTTTCCATCTCAATTGTAATCCCTGCGGGTTTCCCATCACCAAGTCATCCGTGTGCCATTACCATAATCCCATGCATTTCCCTCCTCACACACCCCCCCCCCCCCTGTTTTTGATCCCATTCCCCACTCCACCCAGGAGGGGGAAATTTTTGACTTTTGAAAAAGACAAGTTTAGGATATGTTAAAAGAATTACTTCATATCATACCTAAGATAATTAAAACCTGAGAATAAACTGGCCTCTAGGGTCAGCTGCTGTTTGGTACATCAAGGAATACTGAGATAAATGAAAGAGGGTATTGCTAAAAAAAAAAAAAAATGTGATTGTTGAAAAGGGACAAGAAGTATACATGGGAGCCCACACTGCAGGGAGTGTATGGGAATGTGAATGTGAACAAGGTGCTGGCCTGCTCTAGAGACAGAGAAGAGAGTGTGCCTTGGATCAGAGGGCTGAAGTGGCCTTCTTATGCAGGAGGTGGCACTGGTGACAGTGGTCTAAGAGGAGCAGAGAAAATTCAAGGCAGGAGACATTTCAAAAGGAAAAATAAGGGCAAAAACAAGAAAAAAATACACAGCTATCGCCCTCCCTGGTGGTGCAACGGGTTAAGGCGCAGCACTGTGAAGCTGTCTGCAGCCACTGCAGCAAGAGTTCGATTTACAGCTGGGGAGCTGACCCACGTGGCATGACAGACCTTTCCTGTCCTGCCTGCTGCTCCCCTCAGCAGTGTGTTTCAGTACATCTATCTTTTCTCCTCCCCACTCTGTCTCTGGTGAATCCTCTTCCCCCAGCACCTCTGGCCTGTGCCCCAGTTCTTGTATGCATAAATAATTCTTTTAAAAGCTTAAACAAACAAACAAAAAATACATTGGCATTGAAGTTTCTTAAATTTCAAGTTTTGATATTTGGGTGTCCCAGAGGGACTCCTGCCCTTGACTTTTTATTCTACCTCATGGGGTGGGGGGTTACCAGTGAAAGGCAGACTGGAGCACATCTCTTCTGAAGAGAGCTACAAAACTGGCACTAGACTTCAGGAAGTTTGACAAATCAATTAATTGTTCTGAAAACAACATCAGCTTTAAAAAAGAAAAAAAGGATGGTGACTCTCTCATGCATAAGGAGCATCCCTGGACTGCCTGGATGTATTTGGTTTCTTTGCTAATCCTTGTTAGGTCTGCTAGTCTTAGCAGTTCTTGGAAGCAGAAAGTAAGCAGGTGGCAGCAAGGAGTAACAGCATGGCTTGCCTAGTCCACATCCAAGCAATAGGGCCAGACCGACATCCAAGAGTTTTTCTCCTACAACACTCCAGCTTTTTGGAAAAGTGGGGCAGAAGGTGTCTCTGTGTCATTGCTGTCAATAAAAATGATAAATGTGGCCCTTCTTGGTGGTGTAGTGGGTTAAAGCACAGCACTATGAAGCTACTGCAGCCACTGAAGCATGAATTTGATCCCGGCCAGGGAGGTGACCCACATAGTGTGGCAGACTTCTCCTGATCCACTCGCTGCTCTCCTGAGCAGTGTATTTCAGTACATCTGCCTGTTCTGCTTCCTGCTCTGTCTCTGGTGAATCCTCTCACCTCCTGCACCTCTGGCCTGTACTCCAGTTCTCTATGCATAAATAAATAAGTCTTTAAAAAAATGATAAATAACAAAGTATATTCATTTTTATTTTCTTGGTTCCACCCTTGTTTCTTGGTTCCATTTTCTTTTCACCAGCAAATAATATTAACTTGTGTAAAAGCAAATTTCAAAAAACAGAATGAACTCAACCACAACAAAATAACCCAAGCAAAAAAAATGGGTAGAAGAGCTAAGTAGGCATTTCTCCAAAGAAGACATGCAGATGGCCAACAGACATGAAATCGTCACTTAACACCAGGGAAATGCAAATCAATACCACAATGAGATACTGTCTCACACCTGTGAGAATTGTACTTATGAGAAAAACCACCAACAAGTGTTGGGGAGTGTGTAGAGGAAAAGAAATCCTCTTACACTGCCGGTGGGATGCAGACTCGCCCAGGCCCTGTGTGGAAAACCATGGAGATTCCTCAGGAGACTGAAAATGGCTTTACCATGTGACCCAGCAATTCCACTCCGAGGTATCTATCTGAGAACAAAAATGCTAATTTGAAAGGAAAGCTGCACGTTTATAGCAGCACAATTTCGCAAAGCTATAAACAATCTAAATGTCCCAGAACAGATGAGTGGATCCGGAGGCGTTGCCCATGCACGGTGGAGTACTGTACTACTCAGCAATCCAGAAAGATATATGCAGACCATTTGGGCAACACGGATGGAGCTGGGAGGGATTATTCTAAGTGAAGTGAGGCATAAGGATAAAGAAAAATACCAGATGGTTTCCCTTACATGTGGAATCTAGAGAAGCCAAACAAAGGATCAGACCATCTGTAAGACCAGTCCTTGAGAGCAGACTGTAGATCTGAGACATGCAGGACGGGAGGAAGAGGAGCAGAGACAGGTGGGGAGGAGAATGTGGCGGAGTGCAGTGGAGGCGTGTGGGCACTTGGATGGTAAAACTGTGGTGACTACACCTGAGGGGAGAAGCCTGTACTGTGAGAAAAACATGTTTAAAATATATGTGTGTGTGTGTATACTTACATATAGATGATGAAAAGCAGAATGAATACCTTTTAGCCTTTTAATTATTATTCAAAAGCTTAAAAAGTCTATGATATTTGTAGGCTTTTAGCTTTTTAATGTTTCTGAACATTCTCTGACAAATTTTCTTCTTTAATGCAAAGAACTCCAAATTACTATATTTGCAAGATATTTTCCAAATTCTCTTTAAAGTCTGATTTTTATTCTGCATCTTGCTGATTACTCTTTTTTTTTTTTAAAGATTTATTTATTTATGCATACAGAACTGGGGTACAGGCCAGAGGCTCGGGGCGGTGAGAGGCTTCACCAGAGACAGA